GTTTGCATCTAAAATATGTCTTAAATATTATGCATGTAACCAAACGCATACACTCTAAAACCCAACATTCAACTTTATCAAATGAGTGTAGTTAACTCAAAATTGACTAAAAGTTACTTCTGCTCATCTGAAAAAAAGTTTTGAACTCAGTGTTAAACATAATGAGTTAATTGAATACATCATTACTTCAACTTAAATGGAGTAAGTTCACAGTACTCATATATATATATATATATATATATATATATATATATATATATATATATATATATATATATATATATATATATATATATATATATATATATATATATATATATATTTATTTATTTATTTATTTATTTACTCAAATGGTTTAAGCACTCGGTTTCCTCAAACTTATTGGGCTTTACAGTACTCAGTTGGTTTGAGTTCTCCTCATTTATTGGGTTTTATACTGTGCTTAAATTGCTTCGTTTACTCGAATGGATTAAGTTCAAAGTACTCATTACAATTCATTTTTAAACTTAAATGGTTTGTTGCAATCAGTTTCCTCAAATGGTTTGAGTTACCTTAACTTTTTGGGTTTTACAGGATACTGATTCATTCATTTTCATTAATGATTTAAACAAAACCAGTTAAGATTAGGAATTTCTTTTATAGCACATTTTTACAAACCCCTATTTATGTGACAGATTTGGGTTCATATAACTGCCATAGGTTTCGATCTAAGAAACCTACAGGGGTTTGACAACCCCAAAAAAGGCAACGTGAATGGAAAAGTAGAACAGACAAATATTTATGTGACTTGTTAATCATGATACAGCATATCTGTTTTTAAATATTACATTTGGATTCAGAACTCAACTGCTGGGCTACATTTTCAATGATTTGATTTATAAGACATGATGGTTGAGCCAAATTTGTACTAAAACAAGCAAGCATTTTGAAGTTTAGGAGTAATTTTGATTAAATGTTTTTAATAATGATGATAAAAAAACACTTTTTAAGTAGCAATTATGTAAAGTTCACAGTAAGGTTTTTATTTGTTTACATTCTGGCAAAAATGTGTGTGCAGAAACATGGAAAGTCCCATTATGGTAGTGAAATAGAAATAAATAGTAATAAATAAAAGGACCATTAAAACTTTAGCAACTGTAACATATTCCTCATCAATTTCTAATGTTTTAATAGTTAATAAGATACTAATGTGTTACCAAAAGATCAAATTGTAATAAACAATTCGCAATGTTCCATTAATGCATTATATTTATTTGAATGCACACAAATCTGATTATACATAAACAACGCCCTTATATATATTTTCATACCTGTGTAATCCTTTTTTTTAAAGATGAAAAACAGTTTTAGGATAAAATTCTAACCGTTTTAACTTTTTTCAAAGCTGTGATGATCTGCTGCCGAAGAGGTGTTAAGGACATATCAACTTACAGTACACTGAAAAAAAATATTTAAAGATGATTCCTTGGACTTACTATTCTTTTATGTTAAGGTTGTAAACAATTTATTTGTGCTAAATTTAAACAAACATATTAGGTTGAACATTACTAAACTTAATTTGTTTGTTTAAATCCAAACACAAATTGGTTGAAACAATTTGGCAGACATATTTTTTTTGAGTGTAGTCATTTTCAGTAATACAGTACAAACAAATGAGAAATTATTAATATAGCAGCAAATAACTTTGAAGAACATTTTTGTTTATCTTTTTAGACTATTTATCCATTTATCAAAGTTTTATTGAGTTATTTTACCCAATATTAAAATATTAACAGTTTAATTGAACATATTCCATAAAGATGTGTTTGCATGACTACAGATCAATCCTAATTGATCTGTTTTGTATGAAATCAGTTCGCTTAATGCCTCCTCTTTTATGAGTCACTTTGGACAAAAGCGTTTGCTAAACGACTAAATGTATGTTAGCCCAAATGTTGTATTTGTGAGGCTACAAAGAATGCAAGGCTTAAACCAAAATATATTTTGGAACAAATATTCTCTATACATTTTACAGCACACTGACTTGGCGTTAGAATTCTCGCAGCAGAAAACATTATGCTGAGAGAATTAATCACGGTGCACAAGTATGATTCAGTCTTTCCTTTTTTGTTTCCAAAGCATGTCTCTATGACAACATTTCTCCACATTGCAGTTATGAAAGTTATAAAAGAATGTGAAATCAAGAAACTATTATGTGGAATGATCTGAGCACATACAGTATGTCAATGCACATTAATCAATTATAATGTTATTCATACCAGCCAAGTAAAAAAAAAAGAAAATGTAATCTCAAAATCCCAAAGTGCCTGTATCTTCAAGTAAAAAACCATACATCTTCATATATTGCAGTTTAGCTGTAACATAGGATACATAGAGTCTATGGGGGATCTTAAAAACAGGCAAAAAAAGAATAAAAATAATGGAATACATTTTAGAGAACAATGAATTTACAATGACTTTTTAAAACAAATGCTTTAAAAGACTTATTAACTTCCAGAGTGTTTGGTCACCATTGAGTTCCATTTCAAGTTGAAGCCACCATTAAATTCCATACAATTATTATTATTTTTTTTTTACTATTGAAGTCAATGGTGACCATCAACTGTTCTGATACCAGCACTTTCTGCACTTAATTTTTTTGTGTGAATAAACTCATACAGGTTTGGAACAATTTGAGTAAATGATGATAATTATCAATAGAAATTGTACGATGCAGGCTTAAATAATGGAGCTATATTTGAATAATTGTACTCCTCTGCACTGCAGGCGAACTCCCACTGATCGAGTATGTGCCACTGAACAGTACCGTTAAAGTGGCCTGCCCTAAACTCAGTGCACCAGAAATGGACTTCAGATTGTTTAAAGACGGTGATGAGGTCATCTCCATTTATGTGAAGATAAATCATACGTCCATCCCCAAAACAAACACAAACAAGGAGTTCCCTGCCGAATTCAGTGTTGATTTGGATAACAGTTCCAGCTTCATCCTAACTGTTGTGACTGTGAATATGACAGCCCTGTACACCTGTGAGGCCAGCATTAGCTATCCACCTCCATTTAAGTATGTGGACCACAAACCACAAACTATTGTGTTTGTTGAAGGTACGTTTGAAATTGATGTTACCATAAAACAGACAATTTGCAGCATTGTACATCATTAACACATTACATTAAGCATACTATTATATGACTAGAAATTTGTTTGTGAACAGCCAGGTCAGAAAAAAGACCTGATCTTTGTCAGCAAAGTAATCATCTGAATTTGTGGGTAGCTTTCGGACTTCTGGCTACATACGGAGTGCTAATGACTTGCATCACTATCTTGCGGGTAAATCAAATATTTGGGCAGGGGTAGTATTTGGTTGATGATTGCTGTTGCTGATGTTGAATGACTACATCATTGACTGTATTTTTAATGTCTTTCCTGTGTCGGTGCATCAGATCAAGCCGAGACAAATTGGTTTCTTCAAGGACAGAGAATGTGGCCGGAAATGGCAGGGGGTTCAACATCCAACCCGGCAGGGTTTTTACATACAACCAAGGAACTGTTTGACAACATCTACTGTAACAAAACCTCTCTAAGAAGACCATCAAAACAACAACAGATCTGAAAGCCAAAAGCATCAGTGGCATCCAGAGACAAGTCCAATTACATTAATGTATTTTCTGTTTTATATATTTTCATTTAATTTACTATTAAATGTAGCCAAAATAATATATTAGATTTTTATTATGTACAGTGATTTCTGAACTGTATAATTTGATCTCCCAACCCTTTTTAATTTTAAAGACAGAAAACATTCAGCATCAGTTTATATACTACACTTATACTACTCAAAATTATTTTGTTAAAGTGATTAACATAATTTGTTGCAAAAGGTTCTGCTGTACTTGTTTCTTATTCAAAGATGCAAAATGGAAGAGAAATGACTATAGCAAAAAAAAGTAAATTACGAAGGTATATATATATATATATATATATATATATATATATATATATATATATATATATATATATATATATATATATATATATATTTGTTTTTGGTTTACTCCTGTATTAATATTATTTTATCAACATGATCAATTAAGATTTTGTTTATACACCGTAAAAAATATCTGCTCATGAACAGTTTCTGTATTTTGTGATTTACAGTGGGTACGGCAATTCATTTTTTAAGAGTAATTACCTCAGACATAATGATTTTTGTTTCCGAACCAATTAAATAATTTATTCCTTAGCTTTAACCTAACTCGAACCAAACCCTCAAGAACTGTATCACTTTTGACATCTGTTACTTTTAAATCAGGTTAACTATTTTGTACAACCCCACTCTAATAATAATAACTAACTAACTAAACTAATTTTAAAAAGACTAAAGACTAGATTTCAATAAAAACATTTAGAAAATGTATAAGCCTCAGGGTATTTAACTGTAAAATGTGTGTATGTGAGTGCATTTGGCACAGGAACGTATGTTTCGCTACCCCTTAAACCAACCTTTACATAAAATATTTTGCAGGTTCAAAACAAAATTCTTCGTTTTTCTTATTGGGAGCAAATGTTTTTTTCCTTAAAAATTGTCTTCAAAACGTGAGGAATATAGGCTATGGGCCTACCAATCACACACAAGCACACAAGCACACACACACACACACACACACACACACACACACACACACACACACACACACACACACACACACACACACACACACACACACACACACACACACACACACAATGAAAACGACATGTCATGAAAGGCCTGTAGTTTAGAGGTCTGAACCGTCTGAACCCCTTATTGGTTAGCCTGAAGCAGTTGGCATTTTCTTTTTTTTTTTCTTATCATGCGACCTTTCAATGATCAACCAACGATAGGCGTAACACAAGGCACCCGCTGGGGGGCGACTCAGGACTTATACATTCCATCAGCCAAAAGCCGCTAGCCTGTTAACTGTTAAGCGAGCCTGTTACTCTTGTAATTCCCCCTCCCATTCTATAATCACCCCTCCCTCTATGCTGACACTCTTCAAGCAGTCTACCCACGCGACTCGCTCATCAGAGCTACAACAGTTTCACGCGCACAAGGCTTTTTCTCACAGACGCGCGTGAAAGAGCAGCAATGGAAACGCAGAATTTTATTCATATAAAAAGGTTTTAGATAATTCATGGCGCAAAGTATAATTATTTTTTAGGGACATATATGTAATATCTCTATTAAAATAGCTTTATGTTCATTTAGAAATAATATAGGCTGCTCTTACAAGTTTTCTGGAATGGATATACAGAGACTGAACGAAACTCAGATCCCGGGTTGGGAATGCTCAAGAACTCCCGATAATTCCAGCATGAACATCTCTGCATTAAGCGTGGAAGTTAACGCCACCTGTAGCAATGCGTCAATAATTCAGAAATTCAAACCCACACGACCTAAAGGTGAGTACTAACCAGTGCATGCCAACGTTGATGTGTTGTTTGATTTTTTTTGTCTTGCACGTATTTTTTAATGATTATTTTCATTAATTATCAGCATTTCTGAGTCTTCTGACAATTTTGATATACAGTGCTCAGCATAATTGAGTACACCACAATTTGAAAATAAATATTTTTAAGTTCTCAGTGAACATAGGCAATGTATTTTGGTGCATTTAAACAAAACAGATTTATTAAACAGATTTATTTATTACAATAATATTTTAGTCACCAAACATATTTAGAAATTGAAAGATAATACAATTAAATTCAAGCAAAATATTGCAAACAACTAAAAATAAAAATTACAACCTACAAAATTTTAACAAAATTAAAAATTTAACAAAATTAAAAATTTCAATTTAAAATTAAAATGTAACAAAATTTGTTTTTTTTTTTTTTGGCTTCTCTTGATTTTTTTCTATTTTTAAAATTTCTATTTAATATTTTTCTAAAACATAAATTAGGGTGTACTAGTTTTTGAACCAGTATTTTGTTGGATAAGCTCCATATTTGGCTTCACGGAGAGACGCACTGACACGTAATCTAATGTATATGCACAAATAAAATATTGTATAGCTTCTTATTAAAAATATGAATTCAAAAGATTTGTGAGGGGTGTACTTGTATATGCTGAGCACTGTAGAACATACAGACTGTTTATTTGAGACAACCTCATCTTCCAGTTTCTTTTACCAGAAATAATTATATGATTCGACTAAAATAGCCTGATAATAATGAGGAAACCATAGATCCCCAAAGCCACTGTGCTCAACAATCACTATTGCACATAGACATATTAAATTAGAAAAAGAAGAAGATAAAAATTTGCTTTTTTTTTGCAGTGTTGTGCAATAATTTTTTTCTGATCAGTAAATTGTCATTAAATATGTGGTGAATTTATTTTAATAGTACTATAGTATATTTATGCAATAATATCAACATTAAAAAAAATAACTACAGTGCATAGCATGAATTAGTGCAACCCCTTTAAAAATTATATTTTTGTCTATATCTCAGTGAATATGGACAATACCCTTTAGTTTTCCTAAACAGTTATAACTTATATTCATTACCATAAGTGTTTGGTGTGTAATTTAAAATTCAATGAGGTATTGCAATCAATCAATTTAGCTTTGCTATTGACTAATCTAATGTATCTATATTATTGCAGAGCATCCTATATAGAAAATATACATTTAAAAGAGATTGTATGCCGTGCACTCTATGTCAGAAGTAACGTATAATATTATTATACAGTGTATATCTACCATTCACTAATCATTATAGATATTCAAAACCTTAACCAAAAAGAAAAACTTAAATCCATTTGCTCAAAATTAAATTGCCTGCAAAGACACCTGGGGTACAAAAATTTCATCTGTTCATTTTTGTAATTTTTAGAAATCCAATTTGACATTGATGAACTAATAAAACCTTTCAGTTGGAAATAAATAAACCCCATTTTATTTCATTTTATGCAGAAACACTCTAGCAAGTTTCTTACCTCAGATTAGCAAACTGCTACAGCGATTCAGACAATCTTTTCTTCTTTTATGAATCTACGCATTTAATAGATCCACATATTGGTGACTCATCAATTAGGTGTTTCTGCTCTTTGTAAAAGATGGTGAGATGATCTAGATTTAGCTTCTCATCTGTGAACAACCTGACGAGCTTTTTTATAGTGTGAAAGAAGAAAGTTGGCATTATGGCATAATAAAATGTAGAGCAGGTTTACGTGAACAAGTAGATACAGTATTTGTATTTGATTTTAACAAACAATGTATAAAAATGTTTTCAATTCTTTAAGCATTCATAAGAAATTGCATTAAATCAAGCGTATAAACTTAAAAATGGGTTATTTAAAAACTGGATTATACAAATGTTGTTAATCCAATCCAAATATGTTTAAAATGTGGACAAACCATATTGATGCAATAACATTGCATATTGATGCAATTACATTGCAGTTTTACATTCAATTTAAAACCCACCTCAAACCCCTTGATTGGTGTTGTCAGCATTTTATTCTTAAAAAAAGTGTGTGGGCCATTTATTGCATGTATAAACACATTAGATCATCTGTATTCCTCCAACTGTTTCAGTAGAGTCATCCAAATGCACATTAGTTCCTTCCAATCCTATGATTGCCATGCCTGATTAATGTGTGTGTATATATAGTAATCAAACAATTACAGGATTGGAACAAACGTATCATATATACAGAGTGGAGAAATGCGGCTCTAGGTTATGCCCAAGGGTTGAAGGTGTTGCTGTGTAACATGTTTGGTAGATAACGTAACTAAACCATCTGGCTGCAAAGAACATCTTTCTCTGTCTCTAGCCATTCAGAAATACCAGAGCGGTCTAATAAAATGATATGTTAAGGCAGCATACTGTAAATGACCATTAAGTAAAAGAAGAAAAAATAAGCATGACGCATGACGCAGTTCTTCTTAGAGTCAATTTCCACTGTAAAATGCTAAGTGACAATCTCTTAAGAATGACTTGATGTGTTTAGTGTAATACAATTATTGTACAATTGCAAAAAAAAAAAAAAAATATATATATATATATATATATATATATATATATATATATATATAAATGAATAAATAATAAAAATCCTAAAAATTCCTTAGTATTTCAGTCCATTTAAATCAGAGAATACCTCTCTCTCATGCACAAACACACACCCATAATTCTGAAAAAGAAACCAGAAGAAAGAGAAGGGAGCATTTGAGGAAGAGATAAAAAAACCCCCAAGAAAACTAGACAAAAACTATGACATTAAATAATGGGTTGAACAGTAGGTGGGGGTATTTGACCACCGCTATCAATGGACACTAGTAATCCCAAATGTATAACTTTCTTCTGAAAATAAGATAAAAAAGTACAATCCACGAAAAAAAAGTCATTGGAAAAACAAACTGTTGCTATTAATGCACAAGTGTGTTCTTGGGGTGCCATGACATTACCATGGCATCATGTCATTTTCCTGTGACTCTAGTTTACAGTCATTTATCAGTTTACTTTTGTCGTACAAGTGATTGTCTCCAAACTCACTGGCAGCAGAACTGAATGTTTTGGGCAAACATAAAAAAGTATGTCATGTGAAGACATAAGATGACTGGGAATAAACCTGCTGAACCCACCCATGTCTTATGTATGAGATCAGCATGGGTTTGAAGAAAGTCAGAGGCTTGGTGGAACTGAGCTACACCAGCTCAGTTTTGTTCAAGTACAGCATAAGTAAGCAGGTCCAACAGTCATCCATCAGATCCATCCATCCATCCATCCATCCATCCATCGCTCTAACTAGCATAATCCTGTCTGGACCATCAGGTAATTTATGTTGAATTTTAGCAGGAAATCTACAGATGTTTTATTTATTTAATCACATTATTTAGTGAAGCTATTGTGAAATCGCAAATTCCTGTATACAGTTTCTATACACTTGCAATGAAAGTGCTTTAGAATAAAAATATGATTATTTGAAATGGAAAATACACTACTCTAGAAGAGCAGAGAGAGAGATATTCATTACCCCACTTGATATGTTTTACATATGTGAAAGAAACACTTCTCTCTCTCTTTTAATTTACACAATAAAAAGGTGTGGTAAACATTTATATTTTGCTGTCTGATAGTATTTCACACATTTATCTCCCTTTCGTTTTGATTGCACTAGTAATATAACACCTCATAATCTGCAGACTTGATGTTTTCTCAGTCGTGCTGTTCTCTTGTTTCTTTTCCTATTCCTGGTATCCTGATATTGGCTGCTCCATTTCTTACCAACTACTTGATGGAGTATGAAGCACAGCATTTTGGAATACGCTTTTCAGTCTTAAGCAGTCATTTTAGAGTACTTATGTGAACTAGCAAATTTACAGCGATGAATGGTCCAAGTAAGCTACAAACGTTTTTCCTACCATAGTCAGTTGAGCGAATGAATTTGTAGAATGGCTAAATTACTATGTATAATTATACTCTTTTGATTTAGGTGTAAAGCTTGCATAATAAAATGTTGGGAATGAGTATCCAGGAGCAAGTAATAATTTATTTCTCACATGTTTGTTATGAAGACATAAAAATGTACAGCAAACATGTAGTTGTTAATCTCTTAAAGGGGGCCTATTATGTAACTTTTTACAAAATGTAAATAGGTCTCTGATGTCTCAAATATCTATGTAAATTTTCAACTCAAAATACCCCACATTTTTTATGTCTATTTAAAACTCCGCCTTTCAGGCTTTGACCCAAATTATTCTGTTTTGATTACTTAATTATGTGACATTCTAAAAATCACAGACTTGCAGATGACTCCCATTTACTCATTTTAATTTATTTACCAAATAAACAAGGAGGCTACAAACTCCCGTGGGTCAGCATAGCGGCAGAGTCAAAACAGGGCTAATTTAGAATGCCTAGAAAATCATACTCTGTGAAAATGCATACCTTGCTTTCAAAAGGCTAGAAGAAGTTATAAAAACATTTCAAATGCTGGAAAAGTTATTTGAAATGTGATTTGATTTCAGCTTGTATAACAAATAAATTATTTATTTCAAAGGAGTAAGGATTTTCTATAGGCACTGTATTTCTGTGATAACTTGAAAAGCAGAAGAAGGAAGTCTATGAAAACTACACTGTTTATGTATGTGTGCATCCTAAAACCAACATTTATAATGCCTCTTAGTCACTGACAATCTCTTTAACATGTACATTCTGAAAACTAATGGCAAATGGCTGCTTCTCACTTTGGGCTGCTAATGAGGGAGAGCTTGTCATTAATGAGTGGGGCATTCCCCCTTTGATGACCTGTAAAAAAGGGAGAGTGTGTTTCTGCAGACTGTTTTGTAATGTCACGGTCACCAGCAATCTAGCTCATGCAGATTGCTTGAGAACTACAAATCTGCTCGCAAAAGAACTACATATACAGTCAGTCAACCACCACTCAC